GGGGGGGGGGGGGGGGGGGGGGCATATATGTATGTGCCGCCCCAACGGGTATGGTTTGGGGCCATTTTGGTCTGGAATCGGGAACGGTTTTCGACGGAACTACGGGAGCGTGGGAACGTCAAAAAAAAAAAAAAATCGCCTGATCGCAGGTTAGTGTGTATCGTTTTAATTCCAAATGAAAGAACGAAATAGAAATATGCGAAAATGTATTTCAAGAATTTTTTTGTTTACGCTCTAATCCAAGTAATGATAACATAATTTCCGCCTAAAGGCCGGGGGCCCGTTTCTCGAAAGTCCCGGTAACTTTACGGGCCCGAAATCAAATATTCAAATCGAAATATAAAGAATAAGAGCGCGGGTCCTGGCTAGTAAACTACTTCATTTAGTTTCATTAACTGACAGTTTGATCATGTTAGATGCAAAACTATTGAAACCTCGATCTTTACTGTAAACGGAGACAGCTTACCGGGCCCGTTAATTATCGGGACTTTCGAGAAACGGGCCCCAGGTCTGAAAATGGGTGTTGAAGATGACATTTTTTGGCCGTAAATAGGGCCAGGATTTGGAGAACCGGACGGCACACCCCCACCAAGAATTCCCAGGGGTACCCCCGAGGGTTCATAGTGGATCGTAAGTACCCTGCGAACCGACCAGAGGTAAGCCGCCACCCCGTCGCTGAGGGCGTTTAGCGACAGGGACGTTCATGGCGACAGGGAGCGAATAAAGGCGGCTGCAATTGCGAAAAAAAACTTATAATATTCACATTGGTATATGGCTTCACATATTCGCACTGGTATAGGTCTGATAGATGGCCAACTCACCCTTGGGCCCTTTCGAATATTCATAACAAATGTGTGAATCGAGTTAAGCACTTTTTGGTCAACACACACATGCTGTTATTGTCGTACACGCTGTTCAAAGTAGCCTGCATAATTTCTGCCTTCTTCGTCAGTCCAGTTTTTGATTCCTCCAGCAAGAAGAATGAGTGTGGTGGACGAACGTAGCCGCACTTCTCGAAAGAAAGCAGTTGCCAGTCAGTAGGCTGGCAGCCAGCCTGGGCAAGAATAATAAAACCTTATTACATTCATTTACTGGGAAAATGTCACTTCATTTTGGGAAATCTCATGGGCAGATGCTTCCGGTAGTAAACAGGCACCCCCTTAAAGAGTTCTTTGGAATCTAGATATTCTTCTTTCTATTATCAAGCCTACTTGCTTTCGTCCAAATTTACTTGAATATCGTCTGCTTGTAAAACTGAAGTTCACTGACGCTTTCCTTAATGTCCTCTAGTGCCCTGAAAAATGGTAAGCATCATCTGTCCGTAAAAAATATGCGCATCCCATCAAGTGATTTGAAGTAAGGCCCTTTGCTTCAACCACTGGTTGCCCAAGCACGAAATATGATCTTCGGCACTTTTGCGTAACCCTTATCCATAATTCTTACAGAGATAACAAACCGGTTCCAATAAAACCCATAAATTAGACTTTTCCAGGCGTTCAGATAGTAGGGTGTGGCGCGAAGTCAGTGGGCGGGTAAAAAATAACGAGGAAGAGAGGGAGTTTCCTTCCTTCTGATTGGTTAAAATTTTGCTTCAACCAATCACGGCTATTCAGATCTGGACAGTGACACGTCATCAGAATGCACAGCAATTACTGTGCTCGTTTCTCAGAAGTTGGGCGCTTTCCGTTCAACCAAAACGTCCGCTTTAAATTTTCAGCAACTTCCAGATGTCAGTGGCAAAGCATTCTCCAAAATTTCCACAAAAGAGGACAACCTCGCGAGGTATACCCAAACTTTCCAAAAATTTTTCCCGGGAGTTTGCTTTCCATTCAAGTGTGCTTCCGGGATTTCTAGAATTTTCGGTTGAATGGTTCGCATTTCGGAAATCCAACAGTTTCCGGCATTTCTGAAAACTTTTCAGGGACATTTCTGTACCATTTGCCGCTGTTTCTAAATTTTCGAAAGTTTTGGATGAATGGAAGGCGCCCGTCATTTCGCAGGGAAACCACTGATGGCGTCGAGAAAAGTCGGCTGTTTCTCGGGGTCGTCATCCCCAGTTGTTTATCCACAATGACATTGAACAGCGATACGGAGTGTATTTTGCCATGAAATCGTAATAATGTACACTAATGCATACATAATTGGCATACCTGTGTTGGCCTTTCTTTGATGGTAACTCTTCATAGACCTCGGGATACCATCTCCTAAAGTAATGCGAAGGAGAAATCTTCGTCAACTTTTCTTACCCCACGTTGCTGGCGGTTTTGTTTGGCGAGCGTGGGAAAGAGCGGGGAAGCTTTTTCCGACCAAAAAATCTTCTCGCTGTTTTGTTGCTCATTTGCGCTTTCGACCATGGGGGGAGGGGGGAACTCCCATTATGAAAGGGGCGGGGATGCTCGTCGGAAATTTTGAATTAAACCCCTAAAGGAGACCAATCTGGGTGTGGCCCTACCCTTTTTTCACCCCTAAAAGCAATCATTTAAAACTTTGATTACATGAATCGAGTGAATAGAACGAATTGAAAATGTATAATTTTTAATATTTCTTCGAGCGCAACCCTAAAAGAGACCTTTACGGCTAAATATAATGGTGTTTTGCCCAGAACACCGTAAGTGAGACTAAAATCTGAAATTTACACACGACGAGCATCCCCGCCCCTTTCATATGGGAGTCCCCCCCAGGCACTCGACAAACAGAGCCGCCAACAACGCAGGCTATTTCTTTCAACATGTGAATCTGCACTCTTGATTAGATTAACAATGTGTTCTCTGTTGTGACTGCTTTATTTTCTGTTTCTTTTGATTTTCTTTTTAACACCCCATGAGCAACTTCTCTAACAAAAGCCATTGTCGAGTCATTTACTTTGGCAATTTTGCCCTTGGCCAAGTGTTACCTTAGCCTGTTCACAGGCACTTACTTTTTTTCCTTTTTTTCCAGACGGGTTTGGAGAGCGCGGGATGCAAGAAAAAGAAAACCCACAACTACCCCCTCCTCCCCTGTGCAAGCAGTCAATAAATCCCCCTCCCCCACGGTTTTCATTTCCATACGCGCTTTACCATCAAAATAAGGGAGCTTAAGCAGAGGCACTTATGACTGACCCACGTCAAGGGGAAGTGAGGCCTTTTCTCTTATGATAAACTTTTACGCTACCTGATTTGTATTGGTAAGAGTCTTTATTCTTAAAGAGCCGATTTTGTGAAAAATCTCGCCAAAACCGCCACCAAAGAATTTTTAAAAAAGGTCCACTTCCGGTTGACGTGCGTGGCTCAGAAACGTATTTGCGGACCATTAGAAAAGCTATGGTGGGAGGTAGGTAAAGAACAAGAAAGTCAAAAAAAGATATTCGTCCAAGGGAAAATCTTATGAAAAAATTTCATGCACGGCGAGTAGCCCTAAAAAATATTCCTGCACTGGCCTAAAAAAATTCATACGAGGAAAATATTATCAGAAAAAAACTCGGTCGAAAATCCTCCAACCACCCCCCTAATAACTTTATTAATGGTCCGTCCCTAAACTAGAAAGTCTGCTAACTAAAGCCTGTCACTTTTCAAACTTTTTAACACAGCCCCTAGTTAAGGAATAACGTGACACATTTTCTATAGACAATTCCAAGAGAAACTTGCCATGCTTTATGATCATTTAACTTGGTAAAATTAGGATTGTAAGAGTGTTCCTAAAATTCAACCTGATTTCAGGTCAAATTGTCAACAAAACTTGTTAGGCTACTCACTTACCTGCACAGTTCTTTAATTGAGCTAACATCCACAATTCTGTAATGAAGGTGATTCATAAATCGAGGCATGTACTTATCCAAGAACTTTTTATCAGCATGCACACTGTTTCCAGCCAGGGGACATTCTTTAGCAGAGGTGTGCTGCTTTATAAAATCCAGAAAAGTGTCTTCTGCTTTTAATAGGTTGATTTTGGAAGCTTTAACTGCAGCTGTTAAACCAGACTTGGTGAGCAAAAATAAATAACATATTTAGATCTATGAAAATGTTTGGCCTGGGGGGTCTGTGACTTTGCATAACTATTATCCTTGGGAAGCCTGTTGTCTTGTAGGGTGTAAGGGAGGGGTGGGTAGGGGAAGTGAGGGCACGACCTGAATTGTCCCCTTCTTCCATCACACTGAAGGGGCATTGACATAGGGGTCTGGGGTATATCATCTTATAAAATTTTTCCAAAATATATTAGAAATACTAAAAGTCAAAGTTGAGGGAGTATGTTCCATCAGTCTAAATTCTGGGCTCTCTGGCTTTATCAAGTTGGTGATTGTGAATTACCTTTTTTCCTACAAAATTTGAAGTGATGCCCCTTGCAGTCTCACTTCAATTTGTATTAGAAAAGCATTCCTCATCAGTTTTATAGTACGAATCAAATTTGTATTACAGCATGTCTACCATCAATAAGAAGTGTGTTGTAGTGAAATTTGCCTGCTACTTAACAGCACTTTTACACGAGGGTGGTAGTTTTAAGACTGGGAAAAATCTGTTCTGTGCATTCCTTGTAGTTTTAAATAAAGGGAGCAGTTTCTGAGTTTTTAAACTCAGAAACTGCTCCCTTTATTTAAAACTACAAGAAACAACCAACTTTTTTTTGCAGAAAAAGGGTTTTCAGACAACAATCCTACAATGAATCCATGATCTTAACTTCAAACTATTTTGATTTTAAATCTAGTTACTTCAACGGTTATCTTTCTGATTTTCGGGTATGTATACCTCTCGATGTTGTTTAGTGCACCAGTCATCCATGGCCTCCAGTGCAGAATCTGGCTGATGAATCACCAGATCAGGACCCTTAAAATACAAACAGCATATAATTAAGGAAATATATATGGAGCACCCACCAAAATGAGGTGGTGCCATTAAAGATGATGTTACACAGGACAATTCGATTTTTAGTGCAACACAGCGTTGCAATGTTGAAGCAATGTTGTAACCATTTGAAACCATGTTGAAACAATGTTTCAACCCTGTGCTGCAGTGCCGTGACTTCAGGTACACAGTAGTAGCTCAACCAGAAGAACAACATTGTAAGCATATGGAGGGGTAGTGGGGGAAGGAAAGCTTTATTTTGCCTTTCTTTTAAGCTGGCAAAATATTAGAGGTCAGACCCTTTAGGGCAAAGTGTCTCAACTAGTTTTGTCTTTGATTCTAGTCACACACAGCATTTAAATCAGCTTATCAAAGAATCAACTTCAACTATTTGTCAGCATAAAACAAGCCTATTCTTCTGATGACAAACAATATTTAATACATAAATTTAATAATAATATTTGAATCTGCTTACCTCTGCCACAATGTTCAAGTTTTCATCTGTTATAAGGCATGCCATCTCAATAATGTGACATGTCTCAATATCAAGGCCTGTAGATTTAGAGGATCAACATTAAAAAAAAACAACTATTATCCCAGAAATTGTTGGGCAAAACCAAACATCTTTAAAAATAATACTAATAATAATAATAATAATAATAAAAATAATAATAATAACGTCTTTATTAAAAGCATCCGATAAAATTACATATCTGATGTTACAGTAAAAATATATATTGATAGAAAAAAGTTACAATGATTAAGACGAATAAAAAAGATTAAATTGATTAAAAATACATATGGGGTATTTACACAGCTAGATTATATTTAAAAATTAATCTATTAAAAAAGCTATCTTTCAAACGTTCAGTGTTAATGCTGGGCCTGACAATGGATTTCCTTCGAAGGTTTGCAATACAGTCTTTGTACCTAGGGAGCAAGCTTATTAATGGATGGTCATCACGTTTGAGGTTATAAAAAAGGCGTCTGTCGCTTTTCTCCAAAAGTTCATATATGTTGTAATTGACCGACATATAACGCCTCTTATAGCATCTTTTTAAAAACCTTTGTATAACAGTAAGTTCGGAAACACTTGCAGCATAAACTGAAAGACCGTATAATAACTTAGGGATCACAATTGAATTAAAGAGGTGGTCTATTTCATCTTGTGTATATCCTTCTTTACGTAGGCTTCTGATGACAAATAAACACTTGTTGGTTTCATGGAGCTTGGCCTTGACATGCAAGCCAAACTTACAATTACCTTGAATTGTGATGCCTAATAAAGAAATGTTATTATATTGTTTGATATTGTGAGACATTGGGTAGACTGTTGAATTGCCTCTCTTATGCATAATTAGCTCCTTACATTTACTCTGAATGAGCTGCAGTGAAAGTGGAGAACATTAGAAGCTTATTGTCAGATTGCTCTTTGAAAAATGCATCTTTAAAAAATCAATTCCATTCAAGAGAGTTGCGAATTTTTCAGACAAGAAGGATCATGTTATCATACTGAATGACTTGTGCACAATCAGATCTTTTTATGTGATAGAGACTACCTGTAATGTATCAGTCATGTCAAACTTAGAAATTTAAGACATGCTCAAGAGGATTATACTTTCATCTGGTATCATGAAGGGGAAAGTATGGATGTTTACTTCAAAACTGTACAGTCCAATCATTCAAAATGGTAATTTTTGTCATGAATGTTCCTTTCCATTTTGTTGCCATTGCAAATACCATAAATCCTCTATTAAGCCCCCCTGGGGGGCTTATTTATTTCAAGCACAATTGACGCGGGGGCTAAATAGAGACAGGGGGCTTTTGATCTAAGGAGGTAGGGGCTTATTTAATTTAGCAAAGACAATGGTTTCAGTTCTCTACAAAGAACTATAATACAAAGTGGAAAAGCTCAAGTACAAGAAGTTGGAGTTCATGAAGTCAAGGATCAAAAACAAATCTGAACTTCCAGATGGTGAATAAACCATCCCGGAACAATCCACACAAAGCTTAACAGTTGTGATTGACTAATATAGTCTATCATTTATTAGTGAAGAATAATATAAAGGGGGAGGGGAGGGGGCTTATTAACGTTCTTTCTTTGAAAAGGGGGGGAAGCTTATCTGAGAGAGGAGGCTTATTTGAAAGGGAGACTTAATATATAGGATTTATGGTAAATATTAATGACTTGTAATTTCAGTTACTTAATTAACTTACCTGTCATCTTTTTAGATATATCCACAACATTAACACCAGGAGGAAGAAACGAAAAATGCAAAATAAAAAAGTGTGGTTATTAATAAAGAAGTTAAATAATTTAATAAAGCTTTTCTCTTATTTTGTAAATCAAAAATCAGGACAAATGTTGTCTTTCTCGGTCAAGAAAGGAAGAGGAATACGGGAACCATGAGGTCCACAATACCAGACCTAAAAAGACCTTTTTCATTATAGTGGCCCATTTATTTATTCTTTTATACAGTTACCGTAAAATTCCGAAAATAAGCCCCTTTATGTATAGGCCCCTCCAAATATAAGCCCCCCAAACCGATAACGCAAAAACCCCTCCGTTAAATCGTCCCTCCAAATATAAGCCCCTCGGGGGCTTGTACTTGGAAAATTGCCCCCAAATACAAAGTAAAACAAAGCAAAAACGGTAAATTTACCTCCAACTATAAGGCTAGCCCAGTCGATTTGGAAATGCAAATTTCCCTCTGTAGTTAAGCCCCTCCGAATATAAGCCCCTCCAAAAATAAGCCCCTCAAAACAGGTCTTTGAAAAATGTAAGCCCTGGGGCTTATTTTCGGAATTTTACGGTATGTAAATGGCCCTTTCTGGTCTTGTTTGAATGTAACAATAATTATTGTTTACTTTCAAACAAGACCTTGTAGTCTTAAAAACATTGGATTTTTTTTTTAAATATATACTTTTTGCCATGTAAATAGTTCACTTTTTAAACCTAAGGGAATTTTATGGACAAACATTGTTACCTTTATTCTTTGGCATTTTGCACCTGCTAATGAGGTCAAAAAGGCATAGCATACACCTAGAAGAATATACAGTGGAACCCCACCTTATGGCCACCTTAGTAATACGGTCACTTTGTTGTAACGGTCTCTATTTCTTGGCCTGGCAAAACAGTCATACATTTTCTTATGAAAATCCCTCATTAATGCGGTCACCCATTAATACAGCCAATGGCCACATTTTAAAAGCCCTAATGGTAGGATCTTTTACAATTTCACCCCATTAATCAACCACTCATTCAAAATTGGAAAATTATAAATATTATGCCTGTGTCATGTTAATTTCACTGACCTGGTAAGCTATACTCTAAGCCTGTCCTTTTATTGCTTTTAGACTACAATACACTGCAAATGTGTTTTTGGCAGTGTAATAACCAACTTCCAAGGAAAGGAAGGGAAAGTTTAAAGTAGTTTTTACAATAGCTGTAGGCAATATCTACATTCCAGTTGTTTTTTACAGGGAATATTCGTTCCAGAAGTACGAATGCGCTGTACGGTGTGCATGTATTTTTCATTACCACCCTTAAGTCATGAAATTTGACCCTGCCCCGCTAATAAAGCCACCCCATCAATACAGCCAAATTTTTTGGACCAGTTAGTGACCATATTAACATGTTCCACTGTATTAATGTGTCGTTATAATGAAAGAAGTTTGTATCCCAGTTGCTGTAGTAAAATTAACACCTTAGTTGTTTGATTTTTTTAGTGTATAGATATAAATTAGTGATCCATATAAAGCTGTAGAACAATTCAGGGCCACCTAGCTTACATTAGACATGGTACAAGTCAACCTCTCATAAGATCTTAAATGTGAGCGAAGCAAGCTTCAATGTATGGGGTCGCGCAGCGACCAAGCAAGCAACAAAGTCTAAAGGTTGACTTGTTTCGCCTA